TCATTAAAGTCCGAAACAAGTATTTTTATGTACATTTACATGCTAAAAAGTACACAGTTATTAATGTAATGTGATACAGATTATATAGATATATACATTTATAAAGTTTATACACTAATATAGAGGTTTTGGTTAGTTATGTTCAAGATCTTTAAGGCTAATGAGTTTTTACTTTATTTATAAAAAACTTGTATTTTTCACTGTTCTGCCAACAATTATGAAAACATATAAACATTGAAAGAAAACATTGCAAAGTTTCTCATCATATATCATTGTCTGTCATTTTCATCTTAACAAGAATTCTGTCATTTAATTGGTTAAAAATCTTATCACATTTGGTAACACATAAAAACTACTTCAATCTGAAGCTAAAATATAAGAAATTAAATGGTTAGTACTACAAAATATTACTCTAAGTTCAAAGATTACCCAAACAACTGTTGTAATACAAATATTAAACTGGCAGATTCCATAATAAAAATAACGCAATATTCATAAACATGTATACATGGAAAGATCATGATGACATTAACTGATGTACAGTGAAATAAGTAGAGTGACCAACGAGGTCAACTGTGACTTCGTCACATACAACCAGAACCTTTACTTAAAGATATATGCATGGTACGTAAAATATGTAATAATTATTGGTTGTTTTCTACTTGACGTCTATGTATTGGTTCACATAGCTGACCTACAGACTGGTGTACAACCAGAACCTTTACTTAAAGATATGTGCATGGTACGTAAAATATGTAATAATTTTTGGTTGTATTCTACTTGACGTCTATATATTGGTTCACATAGCTGATCTACTACCAGAGCCTTTACTTAAAGATATATGCATGGTACGTAAAATATGTCATACTTTTTGGTTGTATTCTACTTGACGTCTATATATTGGTTCACATAGCTGACCTACAGACTGGTGTGCAGCCAGAGCCTTTACATAGAGATATATGCCTCGTAAGCATAATATTTAATGACTCATCAAAAAGGAGGCTGGAAGTGAACTCTCTGTACTATGAAACTATCAAACCATTTGTAACAATCAAAACGCGAATTATATGCCTTAACATCTATGTTTCTATTTAAATGTGATACACTGTAAACGCCAAAAAGCATTTTGAGATTATTTTGGTTAAAATGTTTATTGTGTTCAGATGATTTGCTGTAATGTTTTGATTTTTGTTTTGTTTTTTCTTGTTTCTATTCTCTAAAGAGTTCACACTTTTGATTTTTAGCTTTGACACTTGCTTTATAAATTATACCAATTATAAAGTTTTAATGCAATTTAACTATGATATGACTTCTAATATCTGACTTTCACTTCCCTGTACAAATCACTTTCAGAATCCAAATAGCTTCAAGATCCCTTTAACTTATAGCGCTATTGACCTTTAATCACTAGTGTAAAATAGCATGCTTCTCAATGGTGAAATGTCTTTCTAACGCACCCTGTGATTAGGCAATTGTATGTTCACTTAAATAATATGCAATCGCAGGAGAAAAGACCAGAGAATAACACTAAAAACAAATATCACAAATCATAGTGTACACCAATGATAAATCCGTGACAGTGCCTGACGTTATACTTACGGGGAAACACTCCTTATACCTCATCTATCATTTAACAATGACCTAGAGGATACTTTTGTCGTTCCTCTGTCATAGGAATCACTTATAAGAATTCCATTGCAGCCACCATTTGGGAAAGTTTGTATAAGTAAAACGTCAATGTCCTTATTTTAGGCCTCCACTGGACTTCTCATCTTTGGATTCACGTTCTTTTATGGAGGAATGACTGTGAAATTATGGGGTGTATATAAATTTTTTGGCCACAAGCGAACGGTAAGTATATTGCTGGAAATTATATATTAAGAATTACGATGATTGACTTTTTCTCGTAGCTGATTCTCATTTTAAGCAATTTTATTTTATATTTGAGATAAGATCTTAAATGCAAATTATCCGATCGGGATATGATATTTGCAATCATCACATCCATAAAACATGTAAATAAACAAAATGATATTTTAATTATTAATATGACATATGTACATTTCCTTTAACCTGACTTATTCAGTTCAAGACCTGACACATTGGAACAGCACAGAAAAATGCTTTGATACACGTGCATGAATCCTTTTTAAACAGATTGAAAATACGAATCCGACTAAATTAAATATCACAGTTAATAGATTCTCAGTACATCTGGTTTTTGCAGGACATAAACATGTTTCCCCAATTGCCGTCAAAATATTGCGATCAGAGCGATGCTTTTAAAATATACACAAATCGATTAATATAAAACATAAAAAATAGATTTATTTTTGCTAGATATGGAAGTCGTGAACTTTAATCCACACAAAAAGTAACATTTTATAAACGAGGTTTTATACAAAAACATGATGAAATAAAAACTGTTTTCTTCCATTATTTCATTCCCTCTAACTTCATTGAGAGCAATGATACAATATCCAATTTGACAACTCTTTATATGTCTCTGTTTTTAGCCAGACTTTTCCTGGTTGTTCAATTGTGTTATTCATGTTATAGTAAGCTTGGCCTATAATCCCATTACTCATTTGCAAGCAATTAAACGTAGAGTCACAGAAAATGAAAAATTTACCACATAAAACAAACAAATATCTATTGCAGGAGTCCGTTAAGGAAGGATGGTTGATTTTCATGTTTTTCTTGCTCGTTGTTGCTGATGCTATTATAGTTGCTGTTTGGTTTGTCACAGATCCGTTGCATCCAAGAAGAATCGAATTGAATTCAACCGTAAGAAAAATGTTAACTTTTTGCAGCAGTTGCGACATTCATAGCTCACCGCGAATATTCACATTTTAAATCCAGACAACATAATACAGGTTGGGCCAAAAATGTGTACACAACTGATGCTGCTCTCCAGTGCTTATATGAAGCAGCCAGATCCCTTTTTTACACAAGCAAGGTTAGGAAATTATCTGTAAGGAGTTAATAGGTTCACCTATGTTCATCATTTTTTAGTAATAAACGAATAAGGCGGACATCGGGGTGCGTCGCGTCATGAAACATAGAATTGAATATATTTGTTGAAAAAATATCGTATGCTTTTCCCTATAGCTTGACGATTATACTTCGATAAGAACAATAACGATGATGATTGGATGTGAATCTACATACAAGAACTACTTTCTAATTGCCATACTATGTTACAAAGGCATTGTGTTATTGCTCGGTGGATTAATAGTTTGGCCAGCACTGTAAGTGATATTTATAATAAAAATACATTTTCACACACTGAAGCAAATATTTAATTAAGCACGGGTAGTAATTGTGTAAGTTTTTTTTTTATCGTGTCCCTTTGCATAAAGGTACATAGACATATAAACTACTTAAATTTATATTTATTAAGGTTTGTGTCAATGAAGAAAGGGTTCTCTCACTTTTCCGGTTTTGCTGTAGCTGTCTTCGTGAGTTTGTTGTCCAGCATTGTATTAGTTGTTATCTCGTTCTTGATCCCGACTGAACCAAATGCTTTGTTCATCATAACTGGATGTCTGATTTTATTCACAACGATTCTGACTACTCTCCTGATTTTCATCTCAAAGGTAATACTTATAAATATTTAATAGAAGAAAAATGGGTAGAAGTAACATCCATTCTTAGATTTCATACTCACTGTTCCACAAAATGGATGAACTTCCTGTTTTTGAACATTCGCACATTGACGAAAGTCCTTTATATTAAAAATGTATGTTACAAAGCTAGAAAATATAGTCTAGTTTTAATAAGTTTCTTCGGTTTGGAATTTGTTTTGTAAATGAAGCTGTAACTCATATATTTAGCCCCTCGCTTGTGTTGCATTGACAAAAGTCCGTTATATTATCAATGTTTTTTAATTTGACGACTTGCGTCTATGTAAAAAAAAGTGATGTTCTAAGTGGATGAATTACAGCTCGATTTAAAAATCAAATTTCAAACCGAGAGCATTTGTACAAGGTAGACTATATTTTCTAACTTTTTACTAAATGCTAATCCGCAATATTATACAAAAGATAGTGTCCAGAAAGTTCACCCATTTTGTAAAGTTAAAAGTTAAAGGCCGTTTTCCAAAACTATTTTGGACTCTTGGAATCTTTAACAATGTGAGATAAAATATGTAATAAATGCAGGAATATTTTGGAATAAATCTAATGTACCTGTTATTTTACATGTATTGTAGGCCATTATTATAGCAAAGGGAGGAGATCCACTTTCCATGAAGTTATTTTCCCCAATCGGCGCAGCGTTTGGTTTCTTGGAGACAGTCGCTGGTGAAGGCCAAATGGCCAGGTTTGGGTGCCGATAAGTCGCTCAAAATGCCAGGAGTTGCTCTTGCCGCCGGAAAGATTGACAGAAGTGAAAAGTCTGTTTTGTATAATTCCTACCATCACCATGGAAAGACAAGTCGTGTTAATGTCAATGTTTTGGACGGCATCGATGACTACTATGATTCAAAGAAAGTAGGGGATCGTTAGATAAGATTTCAAACAGGTTTGAAAGGCTTGATGGCCATTATGCAAACTTGTCGCAAGTTCATGTTTAAAGTAAGAAAAACGAAACCTTACAAAAAATACGAAACCTTGAGTTCAGTTTGTTGTGACAGGCTTAGACAGAACAGCATGATTGTTTCCTTTTGTAAAGTATTTATATCAGCAATTAACATAATGATCCATAGTTACGACTTTCAAAAGTTAAAAATGTCATCAAAAGTCAGTTTATTTTCAGCTGTCACTATTGACAATGTATGTTAAAATGACAATAGAGAGGATGAACGGAAAGCAGAGTTTTGAATTCAAAGATGTAGAATAAGTTCATTGAATTGAAATCGAACTGACTTCCAATGGGTTTTGATATTTTAAACGTCGGCAGTTTCATGTTTAGTAGAAAGATAAAAGGGCAGCCAAGATTGGACTCTTAATGATTGACATAGGTGCTTAATATAAACATAACATAGACTTACATAAAGTGTTAACTTAAATTCAAATAATATCTAGTATTGTTCTCATGGTAAGGAAAGGGGAAACAGTAATACACAAGTTGTATTCATTCATGCCTTAAGACATATTGCATATGATGACTCACATATCGGTAATCTTAAGTATTCTAAGATGAAATGAGAGACGAGAAAGTGTATTGAAGGTACCCGTAGTTATGAGAACGCTTGCTAACCTATAGATAGGATCTAATACATTTACCTTTTGACTGGACATAATGCTACAAGTAATGCATTACTAAAACGGAAGACTACATGTGAAGTACCATATACATTAGATAAAATATAAATTAGCTACAACATAACCTGATTAACACACGCCTAACCATCGACAAGGTACAGTCACGTGACAGTGACAAAATATACCGTAGTACACTTTTGATGTACGATGTCACTATTAACTGATTTTAAGCAAAGATTATGATGTAGTTTTGATACAGGTTTTCAAAAATTAATTTGAGGAATACATAAAGGATTTCGTGTTCGATTTTGCGTGTATTCGATTTCAAAGACATTTATTTTTCTAATTACGTTAAAAGACCTTCGAGCAGTGCTCGATTTTTTCGCTGTAAGTCTACCCATACAATTGTTCGGTTGGGAAAATGTTGTTTTTTACACATTTCCTTTGATAATTTTCTCCCCTGACGTCTCAGAGCGTCGAATATTTTTATGAGAATGTATTTTTCTAAACTACACAATTTAAGACGGGTGAAGATTTAATAAATATTCATGCATTTGGTATAATTTAAAATATCAGAAATGTACGTTGTCAACTTACAGTGTATGTTGTCCCTGTAATTGAAATTCATGAGTTATAATATTAAACATTGCAATGATTTAATTTCAAAATGCATTAAGGGTTTTATGCGTAACAAGTGATGTGTCATATATCATTTTAAAGCTCATCCAAAGTTACATTAATTTGCCGAGTATCATGGTTCAACACACAAATGGAAAAAGTTACAGGAATTTCAAAAGTTAGTGTTTGGACAAAATTAAAGTCAGTTTTACACCAAAACAATAGTCGGTGTGTCTCCTTAGCCGCCGTGTTAACAGCAGCAATACTTTCCATATATGACCTTAAACAGGCTTCAAATAGGAATATGGCATTTGTAATTCTCATAAAACCTTTGTAAGAGTTTCCTTGGAGTATCTACCATAAACGTCATCTTTTTAGAACTCGATATCCATATATTATCTTCGAGAATAGCATCCATATTTTCTGTCACATTCAGGTCAGGGCTGTTTCCAGGATACTGAAATGAACTATTTTTTTGGCAAAACGCTAATTTTTGAAATGCCTGTTACTTTTTACCATTTGAACCATCATATTTGGCAAATCAATGTAACTCTGGATAAGCTTAAAAATGATATATGACACATACTATGGAGAAATTGGTATATGTCTGCCTAGGGGGAGCATACTTTGGGACACTCTGTATATCTGGTAAGTGCAGAAGTTCAAAAGCCAGGGTTATGGAATACAAAAAAAGAGTTAGTAACATTGAAATTTAATCATATCAATGACAATTTTATGGATTAACGGACAAAATATAAGAGTAAATATATCTGATATGCCTATTATTATAAATTATTACTTTATTATCAAATATGTTCCTTCTATTACACGTACATTATAGCATTTCATTCACTGTAAAATTAACTGTGAATTGAGATCTGTAAGGCCAATGTGACAACATACATTCGAGTTGACAACATACATTATCTATTTTTCGTAGTAGCATCCAAAGTTTGCCACATTCTACTTAAGACAGAAGCACTTTAAGTTTCTTGATGCATTATAAAATTGATGAATTTTTCCTTTAAAATAGAATCATTTTCTAATGACAGATTGTTTTCAAACACTAATGCCTTAATTCTATCCTGTCTCCTGGGTAACAGGTTCTCAAGGTTATGCTGCTCAAGGGACTCGATAAACTCACGTCGTTTTGTAGAAAGGCGCTGACAGATTAGGATGAAATGCTTAGGCGTTTCACTCTCACCACATATACAAAGGTTAACAGAAATGCCAGTAAAATTATGCGCAACAGGCAAATTTTTGAGATTTGAAGTAAAGACCACATCTTATTCGGTTTAAAATGATTTCCTGTTTACCAGATAGGTTGAGTTTGGATGTGGTGTTAAACTTCTGAAAATCTTTTGTATTCTTCCTTACCGTGGTTTTAAATATTGAAATTCTGGGTAGTACCTTCTCCTCTTCATTTAGTTTCGTCCAGTGATTTTTTAGTCTCAACACTTGGGATTTCCGTAACGTTGAGACTAATAAATCAATGGAACAAACTAAGTGAAGAGGAGAGGGTAATAATACCCGGGGACTGACCTGTTAAGTGCATATACAACTAAAATAACTTCAGCCGAGAAGTGAAATCGCCAAACAGAAAACAGGAGGGGAGCGTATATAACTAAACAACCTGCAAAGGTGTTTTTAATTATCCTCACCTCTAGATGATGAATATAATCGTGTCATCCTCTTCTTCCAACCGCTGAAAATGTGACTGGAAAATAAAAGCTTAAGAAAGGTCACTGAACAGAATCTTTTGGATTTTTCTAAAAATGTGCCCAATATATTGTCCTAAATAACACATTTTTTGAAAATGTGATATCATTAGTAGAAAAAAAAATGAAAAAAATGAATTGAAAGGCGATCTATTTTCCTTTTTGTGACCGCCATTTTTGTTTCAGAAAATTTTCTAAAATTTCGAAGATTGTATCAGTTAGAGCAATATATTGGGTACATTTTCTATACATTTAGCACAGTATGTTTACATCAGTTCGGATCTTCAGTGCAAGGGATACATTAAATTAGCATGGTATGTTTACCCCCCTGTTGATCGTCAATGCAATCATATATAAATTAAGCATTGTATGTTTACAGCAGTGGTGATCGTCAATGCTATACATACATATATTAAGCATGGTATGTTTTCAGAAGTGTGGATCGTCAATATAATAC